TGGACCCGGGAGCGCAGGGAGCAGGACCACTCGCCCTCGTGGTGCTGGCCCTGGACTCTCGGGTTCGCGCCCAGTGCGCTCTGCACAGCCAAGAAAAAGCACGAGAAATGCTACGGGGAGAGGGTTTTGCAGAAAACTTGCCGACCCGTCCCTCTAACCTCGGATCCAAATGCAAACACTCATTGCCTTACCCTCAGTTTGGCGGGACCCTGGGATCCACCTCGCTCCCCCCACTTGGCCCTTTCCTAGCGCTGCAGCTGGGCTCGCGGTTGGGGATCCCGGCCGGGTTCCCGGGATGTTCTAGCCGCACAACCAAAAAAATCCCCTGGGAGATGGCAAAAGGATTTGCAGTTTGGGGCCAGTTCAGTACCCGACGAATATCCCTCCTGCGCCCTCCGTTTGTCTTTTATGGTTTGAAAAAAAAAATAATTTTTTTTTTCCCTTTTGGACAGCGTGTTTGTGTTAGCAAAAGAATGATATGATTTAAATTAATTGCTATCTACAGATTACAAAGGAGAGTTCAGTAATTATTTTAAACGACTTCAATTCTGGTTCAAAAAATAAGCATACCAGATTTGTTAGTGTCAGAATTTGGTGAAATTAAACAGTTTTAAATTAACTAAGGGTCCAGATTCTCCCTGTTTAATGGGGTTTCAGTTCCTGAAAGAGAAAACTGACAAAACCGGCACTGGCGAATAGTTTTGTCAGAAATGAGGCTTAAAAAGGGGGATGCTTTCTATTTCTGAATTGTACAACTTTGCTGCTATAGAAACTCTCAGGCACCAGTTTCTCCCCGGGAGGGGTTGGGAGGAGGGGCCAGGTAGTAAGACAATATTTTACGTTTCCAGTATGGGATGTAAATTCCCAAATCACTCTTTTTATTTTAAAGAAAATTACTTAGTTTGTAAAGTGCCATTTGGTGTGCATCTTTTGTGAACGTATAGACTTTTCCTCCGCCTCCTCCCACCCCCAAACAGCCAGTGTGAGTCTCTTCAGTTGCTTTACCCTCTGAAGCACATTACAAAGTAGGCTGGTCCCCACAAACACACGTTTTAAGGTCTGGTTCTGATTAATTGTGTCATGTTGTTGTCGAATAGTTTGTGCCTCATGACTGTGGATGCAGACTTTTGAGCAACTGAATGGAAAACATGTCTTGGAGAGCTGGGTCGGCCTGGAGGCCCAGGAAGGCCTCCTGGTCTGCGGAGGGCTGTGCCTCCTGTTGCACGGCGGGCCCTCTATTTTTGCACTCAGTGTGTCCCGATTTTGCAGACCTAATTGTTTGTGCTCCCTCCTTTAAGAGACGGAACTGGTCGCCAGTTTGAAGAGTCTTTTCAGGATTCCGTAGTGAGATAGTAGTTACACCCGGAATTAGTGGCCTTTGAGAATAAAATTCCTTTGATCTGCTCAAGTTCTTCAGAAATATTGGTTTTTCCCATCTCTTCCCCCTTTCCTCTTTTCTTTTCTTCCTTTTGTGCGTAAAACCCCGTATTGACATTCCAAGGGCCTCCCAGGGTTTTGCTATCAGTTTTAGTTTGTATGTGCATATGAAAGATACCTTTGAATTGTCACCAGCAGGGTCTAATTGGACAGATGCAAGTGAATACATTGAGGAAAAGAAACTGGATGCCGTGGTAACACTTTACTGGTTTGAAGATTTGTCTTAGTGCTAGATTTGTTCAGATTCATCAGCCAGCCCTCTCTCTCCCTGTCTCTTTGGATGTGGAGACAGAGCCCACATTTGCTGTAACAATAGTCATGCACTTGAAATAACCCCTATAGTTTAGGATTTTGTCTTTTGACTACAGCACTAACTATGCACAAATTGGATTGACCGTTTTTTTTTAAGCCAAATTGAGCAGTCAACATATTAACTAATGTAATTAGTAAGCCTTTTTGCTCAAAAAGTTTAATTAGGCCTAATAAGTACATAATCTACATGACAAATAATCAGCTAACAATATTTTCTGTTTTTTTTACTGAAGTTATTTTAATTCTCAGTAGTTAAAGCATCTTTAAGTTTTGCCAATTAGCCAATTATTCGGTCATCTTATAAAAAAGCAAAGCCAATTCAGCTCTCTTAAAAGTTATTTATAGTTTCCTTTTTTGGATAGATATTCTGATATCTTGTAGATGCAGACGAGAAAGTCAGGTTGAAGTTCCCATAAAGTCTTAATTGAAGTCTTAGTGATTTTTCCATCATTCTGCGAAAGAGAAAGCCAGCAAAGACAATTTAAAAGTGATTTACAATGAAAGGTCGAGCTTTTTATGAAAAGGCCCTGTAGTGGAGATGTGTGAATGAATTAGTATTTGACAGGTGTTCTGAGACACTACAGGGCACTGTGCTAGGAAAAAGCTTTAATAAATCCTTCAAACACTAACTTTTGTACTATCAGCGGCTCAGAATTTTTTCTCCAACATAATCCCATCTTGTGAATTTCACACTGTTGACATATAAATTCAAGCTACCCAGATTATTTACAACTAAGGCAAATTAAAGAAGTATATATATTTTTCATCCCAAAAAATCAGTCTTGATAAAAATGAAGCATTGTCACTATGCTATTCTGTCTTTGCCTTTATAAAGTGAGGCATGATTAAAAATAGACCGAAATGTTGTCCTTCCCCAGGTTAACCCTCCTCCGCCCTAAAACTCTAAAAAAACTTTTGATATTGTTATTTCACTACATGGTTCTCCTGTTTAGGGCCAAAGTACTTTCAGATTACTAAGAAATGCATTTATCCTGTAGGTTTTCTTTTCTTTGGTCAAACTTTCTTTTTGGTGGTGTTTCAAGGTTGAGTTCTCAAATGTGGACTTTTGTAAAATCCAACTTTATTTTAAATTCAATTTTGGATTTCTTCCGGGGGGGAAAAAACCCCTCAAAACAATATGAAGGACAAGACTATATATAACGTTACAGCCTCGACAGCTCTCAGTGGAATAACTAAATACTTTCTTCCGCCCATATGTATCAGCAGTGTTCACATGCTTTTATACACATGTGCATTTACATTCATGGTGTAAAGAAGCATCCATGCATGGTGGGGGGGGAGTACATTCAAGGAAAAATGCATGAACAGTTTTAAGCCACCTGGGTTGCTAGGCCCTTTTTTCCCCTTCCTTTTTTTTTTTTTTTCCAAAAGAGCATCTGAAGACCATATTGTGTTTCATAAATTATTGACATCAGTTTTAATCAGTGTCCCCCTGACTTCGGAGCTGTGTTAGTATTTAGTGCCTGACTAAGCATGCTGTTTAATCTTACTGTGGGGATGTCAGCATGAACCCCTGCCTGGTTTGTGACAGGGTGAGCTTGTGAAAACTCGTTTTGCGACTCACTCTCTGGTTTTGCATTGCCCAGCTGAAACCCAAAACCCACACAAAAGACATCTCTGCAAGATGAGCACCGTGCTGGGCTGGCCTGGCCTGGCCTCCTATGGTCATGGGTACCTGCAACATAATGCTCATAATTGTTTAAACATGGCTTTGGGAGGGAGTTTTTCATGCTGCAGTTGGCTCCAGTGTTTGGGCCTACCATCATCCCAGCAAGAGAGGGAGGTTATATTGGTGGTGGTGCCATGAGAAATCCAATGCCCCACTAAAGACGCTTGCAAAGTCAGAAGGCTAAGAACATTATTTGCTGCCTGATCCAGAGTCTGGCACATAGCTGTAGATCAGTGAATGTTTTCTTAGTCATAGTAATTATTATAATCATTGTCATTGTGATGATTAACTCTTGAGGGCTTATTTTTTGCCAAGTGCTCACATTAACTTAGTCATTTAATCATTGCGACGATGCTAATCATAGGCACTATTATTGTTTTTATTTTACAGATGGGGAAACCATAACCTAGAGACATTAAAAGGTTTACCCAAAGGGCACTAGCTATTAGTACTACCTATGGCTAGTAGGTGGTGGAGCTGGGACTCCTGTCTGATGTTTATGCTTTTATAGCATCCTCTGTGCTGCCTCTCCATAGAATGGGTGGATGGATGGATAGATGGATGGATGGATGGATGGATGAGTGGCTGTTACGCATCCATGTATAGGAGAAAAGTTGGTACAACCTGTTACTTCTTGCTAGGACTGCAGGTGGTCCCCTTGTTATATTACATAATACTGTTGTGTTATCATATTTCTTATGTTTATACATGCTCAAATACGAAAGCATATATAAGAAGTTGTCCTGTGTGTTAGCCACCAGGCCTCATGGGAGCTGCAGTTAGGATTATAAGTGAAGAGACTTTAGATACTTTCTTGCAGGTGCTCAGAAT